AATACCTGGAGGTCCAGTAAAGCACAATATTTTGCCTTGAACAGAGCCATTCAATTGACTTACAGCAATAAATTCCTGAAATATGTTGATAAATATTTTCTTTGAAATGACTTGGTCTAAAAGTTGGTTGAATCAGTAGCGTGCTGCTCCTTAACAACGAGTTAAGTTTGTTTTAAGTACTGTATAACAACCTTGGCACAAGTCAGCGACATTAAACAAGTTATCAACCAATCAATAAACAATCAACCAATCGATCACTAATTAATCATTACCAATATTCTCTCCTTGATATCTGTCAGGCCATAATGATCTTCATCTAAAATTTCCTTTGCTCTCTTTAGGTCACAATTCTCTTCACTAAATACTCCCCAAGGGAGGCTTGTCAACCAGTCAAGATAATTCCGGGAAACGCTGGATAAAATAACATCAAGGCATTTTCAATATTTTTTCTTGTGTGTCTCCCACCTCTGTGACCAAAGTTAGTTTAGGTTTCCTCCTGTAGTAACACTGGATCAATAAGAGATGATCCTTACTGGACCTCTAGGAAGAACAGTTTGGAACTGATAGAGTTATCCAGTATAAATAAAGTTAATTTAGTTTAGGTTTCCTCCTGTAGTAATACTAGACCAATATGAAAGATGATCCTTACTGGACCTCTGGGGAGAACAGTTTAGAACTGATAGAGCTATCCAGTATATATAAAGTTAGTTTAGTTTAGATTTCCTCCTGTAGTAACACTGGATCAATACGAGATGATCCTTACTGAATCTCTAGAAAGAACAGTTCAGAACTGATAGAGCTATCCAGTATACATAAAGTTAATTTAGTTTAGGTTTCCTCCTGTAGTAATACTAAACCAATATGAGAGATGATCCTTACTGGACCTCTGGGGAGAACAGTTTAGAACTGATAGAGCTATCCAGAACAAATGAAGTTAGTTTTGCATACGTACTTAAACTCTGAAGCATTAGCCTCAAGGAAGCCAAGTTTACTAAGTTCTTCCTCAATCACTTCCTTGACATGTTCAGGAATTTCTCGATCTTTCAAACGTTCTCGGAATTTCTCAGCCACGGCGTCTTTGTCGTCCTTCTCTAGACCCAGTTCTCTTTTGATCACCTTGAGTTGCTCGGTCAGCAGGTATTTGCGCTGCAATTTGTTCACTCGCTCTTCCACCTTGACAGAGAAAAAACGAAATAAACTTTGGCGGGTTTCACTAAGTCTAAGACCCCGCGTTTACATAGGATAGTGACGAAGTCGAACCGGGCTGAAAATCGAAAATTTCAGTCAGACACAGGTACGAGAATCACAAATCTTCCAATTCATCCCCCTTGCCAGCCATTTTCTTTTTTTTTTACAGCTTTTGTGAACACGCATTGTTGCGACGCCAAGAGCACAGCCGAGACCGGTCTGAAATGTATTTGTGTTTACATTTATCCCGCTCCGAATGACTTCAGACCGAATTTTTCGTCCTGGGGGCCCATGTTACCATTTACTGTATTATAAATAAAATGGGGCCTATTCTACTGGCCGAAATAAAATGGGGCCTATTCTACTGCCGTATAGCAGATGGTGGTCAACCTGCAGTTATCAGAGTGAGAAAATAATGTGAATTATTTTCATTATATGTAGTAGTCTAAATTGTATTTCGTGCTTCTCATGCAAGTGAATATAAATGAGAGGTTTAGTTTAATTCTCTTGTTCTACATATAAGTTTCAATATTTCTGAAGTTGATCGATTAAAAGCAAATGCTACTGCCCACCTCCTTGCCAATTTTCTGCTGCAGCATACACATAGCGTATTCCTTCTTCAATAATTCCAAAGTTTTTCTTAATCTGACTGGCACTTCCGTTTCTTCCAAAATCTCTTGCAGTAAGTTTGACTCAGCGCTTGTTAACGCAGCACCTTGAATAAACGATTGATTTATACTGAGCTAAACTAACTTTATTTATACTGGATAGCTCTGTCAGTTCTAAACTGTTCTTCCTAGAGGTCCAGTAAGAATCATCACTTATTGATCCAGTATTACTACAGGAGGAAACCTAAACTAAACTACTGTAACTTTACTTATACTGGATAGCTCTATCAGTTATAATTAAACTGTTTCTAATTCTTTTACCCTAGAGGTCCAGTAAAGACCTTCATTGGGACAGTGTTACTGCAGAAGAAATCCAACTCAGATAAAATCTGTTGTGTTTGGAAGTGTCAAATTGGAATCGGTCTTCTTAATGCTTTTTCTTTCAAAAAAATCTTACCAAAGTCAGCCAAATGGGTTGGATTGTCAACAACTTTCTTTCCCGCTTCAATAAGTTGAGCGAGAGACTCTTTGTAGAGTTGATTCAGAGCTATAATATCTCGTATAGTCTTGATAACCTCGGCGGCAACAGCCTTCACTTCTTGTGTTAGTTTAAACGGAGCGTGAAGCACGTTCTCAACTTGAACCATTTGAATGATTTGAGAACTTTCGTTAGGAGATCCTGCCTCTTCTTTTTCCACAGTTTGTTCACTGGCAAGTTGTGTTTCATCTGCTGTTGTTGAATCATCTGATTGTTTATCGTTTTCTTGTTCGTTCGCTTCCATAGTCTCAGCCGTCTCATTTTCGTCTGAAATAATGTCCGTTATTGTAATCCTATGAAAAGCCCATGTACGGTAAATGTCTAACTGCTAACTTGTGCAGATGATGTCTTTATATTTTTGAAAACTTTTGTCGTAACAATTTGAATACGGTTGCTAACGGAGCGAGATGAAAACGGGGCGCCTGGCCGCATTCATGTGAACAGCGGTACCTTCTCTATCTTGCTCCACTTTAACATAATTTATTATTCCTCTACTTTAGCATAATTGTATTATCTTTTTATTAATATCTTATATATATTTTTTTTCCCTCACTATTTGAGCTCGTTTTGTGAAATTGTAATAATGTGAATTAACAAACGTGAAACATGGCGTCATTATTTTAGTATGAATTTTGGTATTTGTAATATTTGGGTCATTCTAAGAAGAAACGTAATTGATATCTTTATAGTAAAAAACCTCATCTTGATCAACTTTTTCACTGTCAAAGTTCCAGATATGATGTCATTAGGTGAATTTGTGGTACAAAAAACAAAGGAAAACTAATTTGCAATTCACCTAATGACATCATATCCGGAAACTTTGACAGTGAAAAAGTTGATCAAGATGGCATTTTTTATTATAAAGATATATTACATTTCTTCTTCCAAGACCCAAATATTACACATACAAAAAATCATACTTGGGGTTAGTCTCACTTTAACCACGTACGACGGCAACGCAATTTAAATAAATTATTGTGAAGAAAAGGCGTTGTGTATTGTCCACTCATGAAAAGAAGGGTTAAAACAAAGGTTTTATGGTTAAGAACATTTCTGCTGGGCAAATTTGTTGTACCACTTGTCGCGGGTTGAAATATTTGCGTTGTACAAGAGACGTGAAAATTTCTGGTTTGCCGTTGTAAAAAGCGTTAACACAAAGTCTCTATGATACTCCTGGTCTTGTAAAAAAGAAATGAATTATTAAAAGTAATAATTCGTTTCTTTATTAAAGCAATAATTCATTTCTTTTTTACAAGTCCAGGAGTATCATTGTGTGAATAGCCGACGTCGTCGTCGCGTTGACGTCCTGCTTGTTCAAGCTCCATACAGACTCGAGCGTGTAATACTGACCGTCTGTGTCCAAGTATAATCATTCGCATCCTATCTCCTGTGTCATGAAGCTCTGTGATCTGAACAAACGTTCCGACTTTGTAAATCTCGTCTAGGCTTCTCACCACTTCCGCTTCGTCGCTGCAAGGTTAAAAACACCTCATTTAACTATACATGTAAAAATATTACAACTTGTCAACAAGATGTGTTCGCAACAGGCTTGTAGCAAGCTTGTCAACAAGTTGTAACAATGTTGTTATTTTATCAAGTTGCTATAAAGTTGTCACTCACAACTTGTTGACAAGTTGTTGAATTCCAGGACGATAACAAGTTGTTGGAACAACTTGTAACAAGTCTGTTGAGCTCAACAACCTTGTAGCGAGTTGTCAACAAGCTGGGAACAAGCAGTGCGAACACATCCTGTTGCCAAGTTGTGGAACAACATTGCTACAAGTCTGATGTAGGTTTGTTACAACTTTTGCGTTTTTACGTGTGTAACTTGAAAACGGAATTCTGGCATTTGAAAACCAAGTTCTGGCATTTGAAAAGGGAGTTCTGGCATTTGAAAACCAAGTTCTGGCATTTGAAAAAGGAGTTCTGGCATTTGAAAATCAAGTTCTGGCATTTGAAAATCAAGTTCTGGCATTTGAAAACCAAGTTCTGGCATTTGAAAACCAAGTTCTGGCATTTGAAAACCAAGTTCTGGCATTTGAAAACGGAGTTCTGGCATTTGAAAACCAAGTTCTGCCATTTGAAAATGGAGTTCTGGCATTTGTAAAGGGAGTTCTGGCATTTGAAAACGGAGTTCTGGCATTTGAAAACGGTGTTCTGGCATTTGAAAACGGAGTTCTGGCATTTGAAAACGGAGTTCTGGCGTTTGAAAATGGAGTTCTGGCATTTGAAAACCAAATTCTGCCATTTGAAAAGGGAGTTCTGGCATTTGTAAAAGGGAGTTCTTGCAATCCAGCAGACATTGTTTTCCATCAAACGATCATTTTTAGAGAGTGAATGTACAATAGAACCGAGAATAAACGAAGTTATGTGTTATTTTTGACAGCAAAATATAACGGCCTTACTTGTCATCTTTCTTAAGAAACGTTCCAGCGTAAGGTTGGTTCATTTTACATTTTCTTCTGACCAAATCCATTATACCTTTGTCAGTTATCTAGCAGACAAATTAAGCTTCATGTTACTCTTTTATTAAAGTATATTATGTGGACAGCCAGTATGGCATGTAACAAAGTGAAGTATATAAATAAAAAATGAATAAAAAAAATACCAACACAGAAAAAATCATAAATAATTCTTAGTAGGGTGTATAAGGTTTCAGGTTTTGGGGGGAGGAAGCCAACTCTATCTTACAGGTAATTTATAGTACTATAAATATTTTTTTGGTGATCATTGCAAGTTCTGTCCCCAAAACGAAATAGTGAGATTTAATTATAAATCATTTGATATACACCTCCAACATTTTGACAAATCTTGGGAAGACTGGGTTCCGATGGACACAGAGTAACGGTACTCTGGGGAACACCTCCGGCACCATGACTGGCGCAAGAGCACCATACTCAGGGTCGGCACTCGTATCACCAACTCTATCCTCAATTATCACATCTTCACCATCATCATCACCACCATCATCTCCCGATGACCCTGTGCTCGATACACTAAAGAAAAACCAGCAATACATTGCGGACATATTATTTTGCAACCACAAAACAACACCAACTTTTTCAAGGAATACAGTCTTACCTTGATTCTGTTTTTGAATTATTTTTTCTAAAACTCTTGAAGAATGTTCTTGGCAGTAAACTCTGTCTGGTCGCACGGCTTGATGAGCTATAAACCATGGCAGTTGTATTAGACTAGTGGAATGCTGTTTTTTAAGATTTGTAATCCAAGTGAGTATATATACACTTTAAGACCTGACCAGACTCACTTGGATTACAAACCCTAAAAAAACAGCATTCTAATATTAATTCCACCAAGTGAAGTGCAAGAAACCAGATCATATTAGACTAGTGGGTATGTCATATTCCTGAACATAAGCTGTCAAGATATGATGGCCTGGAAGTCTTCAAAGCCACAAAATAAACAATCTTTGTTTGATGTTGAACTGTATCTCACTGTTCACAAAGCCTTTGTCTCAACTTCATTGAATATTGTGGTTGCATGTTTCATTATACAAAAAAACAGTGAGCTCAATCACAGTGACCCCAGATCGAATGTGCATTCCATGCACTCCACGCCGGATATATCCGGAGTGAGGTTACAAAATCGTTGGCGTAATGGCGTAGGATCACTTGAAAACAAGTTATTAGTTTGTGCCTGATTTCATGGCCACATGTGAATTGACAGTACATAACTATACACAAATATGATGTTGACATGCAGTACATCTTAAAAACACACCATACTAGCTGTTTTCAAAACATTGATTTAAGCCCCCAAAATTGAAAATCTCCGATGCATTGGCGTAAAGGAACGTACATGTTGGCGTATCTCCGGCGTAGAGTTTACATGGAATGTACCCTGGCCCCAGACCATCATATTCTGATAGACTATGGGCAAATCATCTGTGAAGATGAACCACTCACACAAGGTATTTTATTTTGTTGGATGAATTGTCGGTTTGACGTATTTATTAATTTACATACAGTGACACACACAACATTTGCACAACTTCGTCCAACTATAAAGGCAGATCTTTTGTCTCTATTTTGTCCATTCCTCCATTTCTTTACCCCCTAACTACGCTTTAAAAAGACAGTTCACTTCTATAACAAAAATATACACTATAGAAACAACTACAACATACATTAATACTAATTATACATACCACGTGTTCTTCAGACCATTTAAATGACTCGAAAAAGACTTGTGCATGACTGCATATAAATACGATCTATTCCATGCGATCCGTCTTGTATGAATACAGCAATATTCTAAAGGTTTGTATGAAGCTTTGGGGATATATGGAGAAGATTTCAGGCTTGAAAATAATCGACAACAAGGCCTTGAAACGTTGGTAAATGACCTTCGGCTCCATTGAGCGGCCGCCATGTTGGATTATTTTTTGCTGACATTGCTCGTTCCAGTACTACAGAGGTTTGATGTGACGTCATAACCACTGAACTATATAGTTTAGGTTTCCTCCTGTAGTATTCACTGAATCAATAAGAGACGATCTTTACTGGACCTTTAGGAAGAACAGTTTAGAACTGATAAAGCTATCCAGTATAAATCAAGTTAGTTTAGGTTTCCTCCTGTAGTAACAATGGATCAATAAGAGATGGTCCTTACTGGATCTCCAGGAAGAACAGTTTAGAACTGATAGAGCTATCCAGTATAAAAAAAGTTAGTTTAGTTTAGGTTTCCTCCTGTAGTAACAGTGGATCAATAAGAGATGATCCTTACTGGACCTCTAGGAAGAACAGTTTAGAACTGATAGAGCTATCCAGTATAAATAAAGTCAGTTTAGTTTAGGATTCCTCCTGTAGTAACACTGGATCAATAAGAGATGACCCTAACTGGATCTCTAGGAAGAACAGTTTAGAGCTGATAGAGCTATCCAATATAAATAAAGTTAGTTTAGTTTAGGTTTCCTCCTGTAGTAACAATGGATCAATAAGAGATGATCCTTACTGGATCTCTAGGAAGAACAGTTTAGAACTGATAGAGCTATATCCAATATAAATAAGGTTAGTTATGTCAAACCACAAGAGTATTTCTAACCCCTAATTTTATTTTTAATTTTGTACAAATGTTTCCCAAAAGATACTTGGTATCTATTCATAATAATATTTTTACAGAAATCAATTCACACCATAAATTATATACATTCAATCTTTCTGATAAACTCTTCAACTACTAAATTGCGTCTAAAAAATTTACAACTACAAAATTATAACCTACAAGCTTAAAAAATTCGAAACTACATTCTATAGAATTTCATGCATTTTGCCTGTTTTATAAATAAAGTATTATTTCATCTACTGGGCAGTTAAAAAAAAATTGATTTAGTTCACTGTAACCAACCATACCCATTTTTGAATTAACGAAAACCGTAAAAAATGATTTCCTTTCCGAAGTCGATTAAATTCTCTTGATTGGACAATAATCTGTGAATTTTCCAACATACTGCATTTTCTCAGGTTCAGAAATACTATGACGTCGTGAAATGCAGTTTGTTGATATCTAGAATTGAGAACTTAATTAATTTATTATATAGTGTCTATACTTTGTGATTGTTTGTGTTATATATTATGGTACAGGGCCTGTCGAGGGACCGTCAAGAAAGGAGGATCTAACTAGGAGATATTGAACTTTAAAAGTGCAAACTTGTATTTTGCAGGAGGATATGGGGATCGCCCTCAGATAAATTGTCAGCCACGGTGGTGTGAGGCACTGTTATGAGGCCCTGTTATGACGATATTAGAGGCCATGTTATGATAGAGGCCCTGTTATGATAATAGTACACTTTATAGTATAGTCACTTACATTTCTCTGTTTCAAAACTTGAGTTATATGAACAAATCCCGGGCGTTGGTGTGGGTCGTGTGACCAACAACTCTTGATTAATTCCTACAACAAATCAACAATAAATATTTGCCTTATTTCTTGCGAGAAGAGTAGTTCCAATAATCCAGTTGGACGCTATCAAACACCGCAGGGTTCCTCTGGGTACTGCATTTTCCTCTTTTAGCAACATTGGATCAATAAGAGATGACCCTTACTGGAACTCTATAGGGAGAACAGTTTAGAATTGATAGATCTATCCAGATAAAGTTAGTTTAGTCGCTTACCTTTACCGAGTCTGGACCTTTCACTTTTGTTAATGAGTGAGGCAGACCTTTTCCAATCATCCAGATGACTGTCTCAGGACAAAGGTTTGCAAAAGGCCATTTATCCGTCAGAATTTCGTACATTACCGTGCTAAATAAAACGTTAAACAAAATGTTTAGGTGGTTGCATCACACAGTTGCTGAGTTGCATGTATTCCTCCCTATCTACAATAATGGCAGTGGTACTCTGGCAGTCATTTAGTAACAGTGGCGCAATAACAGATCATCCTTACTGGACCTCTAGGAAGAACAGTTTAGAACTGATAGAGTTATCCAGTATAAATAAAGTTAGTTTAGTTTAGGTTTCCTCCTGTAGAAACACTAGATCAATAAGAGATGATTCTTACTGGACCTCTAGAGAGTACAGTTTAGAACTGATAGAGCTATCCAGTATAAATAAAGTTAGTTTAGTTTAGGTTTCCTCCTGTAGAAACACTAGATCAATAAGGGATGATTCTTGCTGGACATCTAGGGCGAACAATTTAGAACTGATTGAGCTATCCAGTACAAATGAAGTTAGTTTAGAGATGATCCTTACAGAATCTTTGGGAAGAGTACTTTAGAACTACAACATCTATCCAGCATAGATAAAGTTAGTTTACTAACCCATAAGCGTACACGTCCATCTTCCTTGTCCTGACTGTGGTATCAAGAATACGACCAGACGAAAGATCAACATCAACTTTTGAAATAACCTCAGGAGCAAGATAGGTCAGGTGACCTTGTGGTACACTACCATATCCTCCCCTGATTGGTGGAAAGAAAAAAACCCGTTAAATGCACACTCATGCAAGCGTATTGAAGTGGAAACAAGATCTGTCATGCTACAGCGACAACATTTACCTCTTGACTTGGTGATGCAAGCAAGTATAATCATTGATACAAAGTTTCACTTTCGATTCGAGAAAAATATTCATAGTTCGAAGAGATGGCACCGTGATACATTTAGCGTGAAGATAACTCATTCCCTAGACGTACAAAACAAAATGAGTAAGAGCTCTGATAGCCACCTTTATTATGTTGCTTTTCTACGCTGAACAACTGGGTCAGCTCTGGACTGGTCTCCCTAGAGGTCAAGTAATGGCTAGACAGACCAATATTACTAGAGGAAACTGCACCCGGTGGCGGTGTATGGCAATGAGAAAATGGAAACACTCTTCTCGCATGTGACTGAGGTGGAATTAAAATCAGAGAACTGTACATTGCGAGAATAAACCTCCGTCACACAGATGAAAGGGGGGATACACTAACCGTTTTGGAAAGGCTTCATTTCATACCTGAGCAACTTGCAACATTATATTCAGTCTCGTCGCCATTGACCATCGCGATTCTTGACAATGAAGATGATTGTGAATTGAAAGGCATTTCCTTAAACTAAACAAGAAAATTAGAGCGATTTGTTGAGAGGAAAATAATCTATCTGGAGAAACATCGGTCAGAAATTTTGAAACGTAGACAGTATGTGACTAACCTGACAACAACAGCAAGATTTGGAGGTTCAAAACAGGCTCCCATAAATAACATGACGTTCTCATGTCGAATCATACTTAAGAGAAAAACCTTAAGAAAAATGCACAAGAAAGGTGAAATAGATCAGTCTTCTCCTAGAGAGCCTTTTGCCGTAGACTTCGAGAAATGAAACTCAAAAGTGAGTGGGCGTATGGCTGTAAGTAAGGCTGTAAAATTATATCTAACAGTTTTTACCTCTTTCCGAAATTCTTCAACTTCTTCGCGTTGCGATGCTTTGCGTGTGTGAACCATAACGTCACCGTGCCAACGACCTCTGAAGAATGAAAAACAGCGTGTTTAAATATTATGATAATACTATGATAATGATAGACCGTACTATCCTGACAAGACTGACAAATAGACTTCGCTCCAGACGTAGAAAGGGTTGTAATATACATCGTTATTTACTGTATACATACGTCAAAATGTCACAACTTGTCAACAAGATGTGTTCGGAACAGGCTTCCAGCAAGCTTGCGAACAAGTTTTAACAATGCTGTTATTTTATCAAGTTGCTGCAAGGTTGTCACTCGCGACTTGTTGACAAATTGTTGAATTGCAAGACGATAACATGTTGTTGGAACAACTTGTAACAAGTCTGTTAAGCTCAACAACCTTGTAGCAAGTTGTCCGAACAAGCTGAGAACAAGCAGTGCGAACACATCCTGTTGTCAAGTTGTTGGAACAGCAATTGCTACAAGTCTGCTGCAGGCTTGTTACAACTTGTGCGTTGTCACGTGTGAATGACAGTTCTGTATTGTGAATACCTATACACTGGTCCGTTTGGGCCAACACCGACTTTCGAATCAATTTCTAAATCAGAATATCGTATTTCCAGCTCTTTCAGCGATTTCTAAAACAAACATCCAGATTGACAGTGTCAGTGGAAACGTCCGCAGACTTTTTGAGATAAAACAATTACCAGGCATCTGCAACAGTAATCTGTACAAGAATAATTAAGAATAATGAAGAATAGTGAAGAAAGCTTACTTTTAATCCATTTCTTGTTTTCAAGCTGTAAAAATGAATCACAAGAAATGATTAACGACAATGATTATGTGAAGTGAAGACTAAGGATCCGTTTATCGGATAACTTTCCGTAGCGACGTGAAAAACATCTGTCCGTACCTTTTAGGAACGCTATTTTCAGATGAATTATTGCAACGGAGAGATGTTGTTTCGCTCAGCTTCTGAAAGTTGTACATTCCGTATCGAATACCTGCTTTTTCGCGCTGTATAGTGTAAACCAAACCTAGGCTAAGTACTTTCTTTTTCAAACATTTTTCCAATAATTAATACTGAATAAAAGATTTGAACAACGGTATTTACAACTTAGAAATATTTTTCCAGAAAACTATCTGGATCAATAAAAGTTTTATTCTCCATAGTTCTTCGTTCCCACTGCATCGGAAGCTAAATGCCGGCACACTTTGCCGTTACAGTTTGTTTACAAATTAAATTAGCACTCATGTAAACTCAAAATATTCCAAACAAAGCAAAGAAATTTAAACGAAAAGCACTCGACTTTACTGTTTTGAGACCTGAGATGCTTGGTTTGCAAGCTGTACAAAAAAGTAACGCGGCGTTTGTGTTGACACGAAGCCGCCAAGCGTTCCGCGTTTCCATCTCGCTCCGTGTGCGCGATGGCTAATTGCGACTTTTCTGCGCCGTTTTCAAACCGTTCCGAACGTAGTCTAAAACGGCTTTGTAAATGCGCAAACTAAAACAACGGGTTAAGTCAGTAACGCAAGGTTATCGCTAATCGTGATTGGAACAACCCGGTCCAGACTGTATAGTCTCTGATATCTTACACGCCGGGCAGATGACGAGGAGTAAGTTTTACCTTCCTAATCTATCCCCTCCATCCCATTCACCAGACGATTCATCATCGCTTTCCAAGAAAAATACTGGACTTCCTAGAAACGAGGGAAGTGATCAGAGAAGATGACTTCAGCCAGGCGGGAAATGTGATTAGAAGCATTGAGCATGGTTCGATAGATCAAGCATAAACTTGGACGGATGTTTTATACAACTTATATGCCAGTTTAGTTTGCCAGTACGTTTGACAATAGTAGTCCTCTGTTTCAACATGTGTCCCAAATCAGAATATCAACCATGAATATTTGATTAGAAGTTCGAACAATTAAACAATTGACATTTACATTTATCAACTTTGCCAACATAAAATTAGAATAACAATTTAAAATTATAACAACAAAATAGTGTGATCGGGTTACCGTAACAACGTACAATCAAGCAAACAACAGACATTTAACGAGACAGACTAACAAACATACGAACAAATTATATTAGTTTCACATAGCAACAAGATATCGGCGATATGCAAAACTTCGTACAGAGTCGCATTTCGGGCATATATTTTTAAACGCTCTAGGATTATCAGGATTATAATTATACTAATTAATATTTCTTTTCCGGCGGCACAAGTCAACATCAAATTTTTTTCCCGGAGAACATATTTCTCAATCTTCTTTTTTGTTTAACCATCGTTCTTCATTTTCCCAAAAATTGTTTGGTAAATTTCTCCACATTTTAGCTATCATTCTCAATTTTTAATCGGTGTCACTCAAATAGTATATATTTCTCCTTTCTATCCAAATCCCATGTTTTGCCGACTGCGATTCGATATTTTGTCGACTACCTGGACGCATTTAGCGCCGGCCTGCGTGTACGCTAGTTTTCAGGGATCGCTTGTTCAAAGCTGGGTTAAGTTAACCCGCTTGGTTAACCTAAAATTCAAAGCAAACTTCCTGAAAGCTTCTCTATAAATTTGAAAATATTTCTTCACAGATCTTGTCTGGATCGATAGGAGTTTTCTTCCCTGAGGTTTCGAAATAAACAGACATGTAGAAATACATATAAACTAAAACCGAAGGTTAAACTTTAACCCGGAGGATTAACGCTAATGCACATTTGAGCAACCGGCGCAGGTGTTCGGCTAGCTACATGACGTATCAATCCCTTTTTGAGATGAGATCAGTTAAAAGCGTGACTTACCTCTCACAGGTGAATTAGAGGGATGTCTGTCGCCCCCGCCGCAAACAACGAGTTCTTCGCCCCTCTCTAGACCATAACCCTTAGAACTACAACTCTCGCCTAACTGGTAGCCAAACTTTTTCGTCTCTCGGAGTGGACTTTCTTCTCTCAGAGTTTCAAACTGATCTGGCGTCGGTGACCGACTGCGTTGTGATCCAGTCCCGGCCGAGGAGGCGCAGGATTGGTTGACGGACGAATACCCGGACGACAGAGCTGACGGGGGATGAAGACTCGAAGCATGCGTACCAGAGCTGTATAAAAATCTTGACCGGTTCCCAACGGGCCAGTTTTGTTCTAAGTTATCGCAAGAACCACAAACGTCCTCAGCCGATACATGCATTCTTCTTTGATAAATATAGTTCGTTAAATTGACAGGAGGACGAGCTAAATTCGTTCCGTTGCTGTGCAGACCTGAGCAAGCTTGCAGGTTGCTAACGCAATATGCATGTTGTGGACCTAATCTCCATTTTAACGCGGGAACATTGCGAGTGTTGTCCAAGTTTTTTTCGTTAAGCTCGCGCTCGCTCTTCAAATGATTTCCGCCGAAATTTCGTTTTAGGAAAGCAGACTTTAATTTCCTATTGCCTGTAAAGGAATAAAAATTTCGAAATGTTAGGGTCTCATAGGAAATGTTCTCTTTTTCAGTTAGCCAATGACTTTTGGACCAACAGGCAAAATCTTGTTGCCAGCTCAAACTTGGATGTCTAGAGTGTAGGTATAGTATTCTACTATAAGCTGCCATCATGGTCTGTGTCTGAACTACCTGAAAAAGGTATCTCAAACGTGGTGGTCCAGTGTAGGTAGTATTCCACAATAAGCTGTCGTGGTTTGTGCTTGAACTACTTGAAAAAGATATCTCAAACGTGAAGTTTCAGTGTATAGGTAGCATATTCTACAATAAACTGTCGCCTCTGAACTACCTTAATTAAAAATATATCTCAAACGTGGTGGTCCAATGTAGGTAGTATTCTACAATAGTATTCCGTCGTAGTATTCCATCGTTTGTGCCTCAACTACCTGGAATAGATATCTCAAACATGGAGGTCCAAAAGTGTTCAGTGTTATAGCTGTTGTGGTTTGTGTCTGAACTATCCATGAAAAAGAGATTAACCCGGCTTACGCGCTTCGAGGGAACGACATTTATCAGAAAATGTGCTTCCACGTCTTTTTCACGTAGTTCAGCTACAAACAGTTCAAAATCGTGCTGCATGAAACATAATAAAACAGTAATTGTCCGTTGTTGGAAACTATTTTTCCTCATGACGACAAATTTGCAGCTTAACTTTACCGCTATGTAATTGATCAGATTGGACTAAGCCACATAACATTTAAACGACGTGGGCATTCCGTAAGCTTTCGGCTGTTTATATACGAACGACGCGGACTAATAGGCTATAGCATCGTACCGCGTCCATTAAAAACCATTAGTCGCGTTTAGAAAAAGCTTGCGCCGAATTTAATTTAAATTTCTACAATTTCATTTGCACCTTTGGCAAACATCCAGGGCAAGCACTATTGATGAACTTGCAAATGCATGAATTTTTAATCGCAGTTCTATATGGGGCAACAAATGAATCTATACTACTCACGTTTATTGCAACACGGGTAACAGCTTTGAGCTGTTAACATAATGGAACAACTTTTGTGGCATTTTATGCTAAAAAGAAATTAACAAAAATTAGATTCGAAAATAGAAACACCAGCGTAAGATTAAATTATTCCATACGACGAATTAGTCTCTCCCACCGCAGACTAATATCGACTGGGCAGATCAACAGCTAAAATTCACAACATCATCTCACCGGCAATTTCGGCAACGGAGGCCAAAAAATCGGATAATTTTCTCGCAATGGTTGCAGCGCTTTCGGCATAGCAAAACTTTCGTGAAGCTACAAAGAGGAAAACATTATATGTGAAAAATCATGGATAGACAAGAGATTCGTTTGCATAAGAAAAAATAGTTTACAGGTGCATATTGGGCAAGGATTTTGCACGCACTAGATTTATTCATGCTTTGCTTAAAACGAAACATACGCAGAAATACGGAGTATTTTGTTGCAAACGTATTGCTTACATGTTACTTGGAGTATATAAATGTTGCACAAACGTTATTAATTTCAAGGTTGCACAACGTTTGCAAACACGAGCTCGCAAAAATACAAGACAATTTAATGAATGCGATTTTTTTTATCTTATTTTCAAAGCCGCCCAAACAACAATTCGACGCGCACAAACATACACAGATACCTGTGGGATTTGAATTCCACTTCCATACTTTATTCCCCAGCAAGGATGATTTGAAATAATCTCATCTTTGAATTCTCGTGAAGATGAATCGTTGTGAAGGCAGTTTTGTTTCGCTGTCGTTCAATTACGGTAAACAAACGAAAAGAATACAACGTTAATCTCGACGCCGATTGGCTAAGATGTCGCATAGAGCAACTACAGCTGTCGGCGAACGACCAATCGGGAGCGAGGATTAAATAAGATGCACACTGGCGTATCTCTGTTAACAATATGGCCACTTCAAATTTAGAATGTATATAGAAATCGTGGAAATGTGATTGGTCAGTTCGACAGGTCAAATTCTAATCGTGGTCGCCTAGGTGACCTTGGAATGAGTTCCAGACAATTTCTATAGTTGGGGAGGAACACGAAAGCTTTACCCGTTAGCGACTTTCCCGCCCAGAGGTCCAGTGAGTGTCAATCCTTAGTGGTCTAGTGTTACTACAGGAGGAAACTTAAATTCAATTAGACTAACGTTATTTATACTGGATAGCTCTATCACTCAGTTCTGCACTGTTATTCCTTGAGGTCCAGTAAGGACATCTCTTCTTGATCACTGAAACTTGGATAAACGAACTCACAAACGGCAGAGTCTGAACGACTATAGTTTATCTAGTCATAGTCGGTATATACAAAAGCTTGGAAAATGTGAGTGGTATATAATTAAAAAAGTGCTGACTCTACTAACATACTAGAGAAAGTTCAAATATTACGTGCTCAAAGATACGACTGTTCAATGTTAGTTCGTCCTATGTATACGCTTCTTCCCAGCGCGCTAAAGCACCAATTATATATACACACCCGTTTGCCTGCAGATTCAATCCCAATTCGCCAGTTGTATAACGGTTTTAGGGCGGACGGAAGCGGTCATCAAAGACTTTACAGCTTACAGCGAGAATGTTTAGATCCTACGTTGCTTTTCAGCAATGACATTTATGTACACTAAGGACTCTTCAAACCCACGCTGTGCAAATAATGCTAATGGCGCCCAAAATGAAATAAAATTAAGTCAAGTTTTATATCTAGGCAAAAATTAGAGTAATCTTTTTTTCCAATTTCAAATCGTTTTTATTTGTGATGTGTTAAAGACAAAGTTTATTTAAACGAGGTTGAAAGAGCATATCTATATATCTAAGACTCAAGACTGGGCCGGCTCATAAAATGCTTAATGAATTTTGCGTAGGAACGTAACTGTGCTTCATATCATAATTGTGTGGGTCTTAAACAGCCATTAGAAGGCTTATGTACTCTTCCCATCAATCTCTTGTCGGAAATATAGGTTGGGATCAAAGAAATTAACTTTGCAGGAAGAAATTAATTTCGTTGAAAAATTTTAAAGTCAAATTTTGTACAAATTATGCGCATATAATAAGGGGGGTTTTGTTTTTAGAACTTTACGTGTTTAAAACATAAAAATTATAATATGGCATAAAATCAAGTGATTGTATTAATAATGTCCACGTCATTAATAGAATTTAAATGGATGATTTTATAAATAATATACATACTGGGAGTACGCGTGAGCATTTGTTTTTATTTGCCAACGACTTATGTGGTGACCTACGTGTAATTTCACATGCATTCAATCATTGACCTTGTACTTGTAATCGAACTTGACAAAAATACAAGCAATATCTGTCAAATTACGTCAAAATAAGATTTCAAGGGCAGTCACAGAGGCTCCAATTAAAACGCTATGGAGATTTTCAGATAGATCTGCACGCAACAAAATGAAACGGGAATATATATAGGCTACACGTTATGAATTAAATGAATGGCACGTCTCCTTGGAAATATTTGCGTCCGTTGCATGATAATCGGCCGTCAATGTCGGTAAAATAGGGCATTAAAATCTCACGCAGAAGAGCACGTTTTTGTTAACAAGTTTCCTTGACAAGTTTACCTTTTCGTGTGTACGGTCAACAAGTTTCCCTTGACAAATTCTGTTGCAGTTCGTGCGCGGAATGTTGTTAAGCTATTTATCTCACATCAATTATAACGCCGCCTCTTGTAGGCCCAAACCCTAAAGCTATTTCTTGTACACAATTGTCAAGTTTCCTTGGGGGCCGTTCACACGAACAAAAGTTTTCTTTGTCCAAAAGCTGCCATGACTGGCTATGGAACAAGGCTCCTTGGCAACAAAAACTTTCAATTTTTTTGCCGTACGCATCAGCAAATAAAAATTGCTTGTCTGGGTAAGAGGCTTTAGACGAACTATATCAGATACCAGACATGATTTGTTTTCTCAGAATCACCGTCAGTATAGATCACGCTACAAGTTCGTCTGGGGAATTCGGCGTCCTGTGTTGACGCGGATCCGTTAGAGATCGACGACCTTGTGTTGCGCGTGGTGATAGGCATGCAGCTGCGCAAATTGTGCGCTTTGCACGGAGATTCTAGAAAAAGGTTGCGTGGAGAATAGAATTGCGTTATCATCGTTATCAAATGTTTGTGGTTTTCGGCGAAAAACAAAATATCAAATTATCGGAGACATGGAAACATGTCGTAATCACAAGTCTGTATAGCGAAGTTGATATTGCCATATTGGCGCGTTGAGCTACGACACTGCCTACGCATTGTTACTGCGGCGCTCAAACTTAGCCGGTGCGAACCAGAGATCCCTGGTTTGAACTGAACAATCACCTTTTTCCGTGTAATACTTTCTACCTAATACAATCTACACTGTATTGGGTCACGTATGTATACCGTATAGATATTATATGCATGCAAGTGGAGATTAGCTAATGAAACTCGACGAGTTTCGAGCTGTTTATGTTTACTAATTCAACTGGTCGTCCGCGGCCTTTAGTTCCCATATGCATGGTCGTAAAAATAGAGTCACGATCTTTCTCAACGGTCAGTTTATAATAGTTTATACCTGTAAACCACATATAAATCATAAGTATATATTCTCTAGTTATAATCACTCCGCGTATTTTCAGTTCTGAAATGTTGTATTTCGGCTGATGAGAAAGATCGTGACTCAATCTTTACAACCATTACGATCATATGGAAACCACGCTTTAGAAACATCTCTGGTACTACTTTACCTTTTGCAAGTATCTTCGATACTTGAGCGCAATGAGCAATGCTTCTTACCTGTCGGTTTCTCGAGAGTTCGTCTTGCGTCTTCTGCCTTTCTTGAAGCACTGGTCAAAAGAGACGTTTCGATTTGTCAAAAGAGGAGGGTATAGGACGTATATAGACGCTTCAACAAGATGGTACTGGCAAACGTAGGCAGCGCTGGTATAGAAAGAACGATTTATAACAAATTAGGCCGGCGTCCGTTCTATTCGCATTCAAATATACACATGGAAATTTCCAACTTTTCAAAATATTAGCACTAATTACCTCAACAGATACACACGAAATCTTACACAAAGCTAAGTTATATTTGATTGGATTGAAACTTTTCCATATAAATACATACCTAATGAAATATGCTCAAGTGAAATTCAGCCTTTCACATGAAGTGACATTTGAACAGTATACTAATATTAAGGAGCCGTGGTTCTGTTTGGACAACATGAAACTCGTTTCGAGCCAAGCCGTGCAGCACTCGACGAAGGCTTTGAAACGTCGAAGTAATTTGAATACTCTTTCATGTATAGTTCAAACACAAACCACGACTGTTTATTGCTCCCAGCTTAAATCATTTCGCAATATGCTTCTTACCAATTGTCGAGAGTGTTCGCTCAGCGTCTTTGTCTTGTTAAAACCAACGTTGTAGGCTAAAATAATCAAAATGTACAGTACAAATTGAGGATACATAAACAACAAAGAAGGATGAATCATTCAACGACACAAGTGATTCAAACCTTGTTATATTGCATTTTCTTTCTGACGTTAATAACGAAAGTCTTTCATTTGATGTCCTCGAGAAGTCAAGCACGACTGCTTCCCACGAAACGCGAACAAATACAAAGCACGAGAAAGCAATATCGTTAATCCAGGTGTTGGATTCCTCGTCAAAACAATGAACACCTCTTGTTTCCCATGGGAACGCTTTATGGCCATTTATCACCAAGCAGAATACGAAGTATTCATTTGGTACACGCGCGAATATCTCACAGCTTGTCAACACTACGGTGTTCGCACTGCTTGTCCCAGGTGTTGACAAGTCTAAAACAAGTTGTTACCATCCTGTAGCAAGGTAGATGAGGCCAACAGGCTCGCAACAAGTTGTTAACAAGTTGATGACAAGAAGCCCGTAGCAACTTGTTACGAACAGGCTGTATTAGTCTTGTTGGAACAACTTGTATAGCATGCAAGTCTTTTTAGCGTCATGAACCTTATATAATAAGGTGATAACAACTTGTTCCAGACTTGTCACAACAACTGGGAACAATCAGTGCGAACATCCACCCAATATCAGCTTGGCAACAACCTTGCCACATACATTTTCTACTTAAAAACTAATTGTCGGCTGGCACCATCAGTCAGCGAAACAAAGACACAATGTGGGGGATTCAATCCACTTTCAATCTTTGTCTTTGTTCCAGCAAACGCTGCATGCAAACACAATACTTGCCAGAAAACGTAAAAGGAAACGATTAAGTCGTTAAATTTTTCTTCCCAGACAAATGATTTTGCGAAAGAGGACAGCCTTGTACGCGTGGAAAAGAGACGAGGCATACCTGGGATATTAATCACGGAAATAACTGCTTCAAAGCAATTGCTCTATTTACGTATGTTGTCAAGAAACTAAACATCTCCGCTTACGTATACTTGTGAACTCATGGCTAAATATCGTACAAGTTCAAGCAAGGTTCGTCACTGACAGTCACGTGTTTGCCTCATGCCAGAGAGGTTGTCAATAGGTTGCAACGTTGTTGTTCAAGTTGCGACATGGTTGTCAGTAGCTCAAGCCGGTCACAAACAAGCTATACAGGGTGTATCAAAATAAACGCAATTCATCTTTTGTGCTTAATAACTTTCGAAATACTATCTCTAGCTAAACGCTTTTAGGCTTACTTCAAAGCCTGTTCTTTTCTCTTTCAAACAAACTGTTATCCTTGCCTCCAATGCTAGTAATAATTGCACAGGAAAAGATTTAGTAAAACCTAACATTTTTAGTTGCTGTTTAATTATGCAAGTTTACTATGTTATTGTTTAGTCGGTTTAAATGTTAGAATTTTCTTCTTTAAACTTTAATGTTGTCGTCACTACATCTGGAAAACCACGTAAGAACAAATTAAAAGTATTTTTAAAGAGACCAGGTTGTTTGAAAATCCTAAACGAATGCTAAAAATCGTCAAAACATTCTGGTGTCTGAGCCAGAGTGTCATCGAATTGCGATGTAATGTAAACAGAAATTATAGCAAGTTGATGTCAGTCAGCTTAGATGGTCCAAGCCGAAATTATATCGCATTTGAAGTTTCAAACTGAGTTACAAATAGTGGAAGAAAAGCCGTAATTATACTTATTGTTACAATCCATTTAATAAAATGCAACATTTTTTGTTTTAATGAAAAAATCAGTTATTTTCATGAGAACGATTTGTTATTCCATCTCAATATTCAATCTCCAATTGCAATAACGTAAAGTATTATTACCCGCGAACCAATGAGTCAAATTTAAGAAACAACCCACTGTCAGAAAGCTGAATGGCTACGCTTTAAAATGAATGTAAACTTTAACGTTTTCGTCTATTATTTGTTTAGCAATTTACACTTCAGTCGAGGATTGCGCTTTTTTTGATACACCCTGTATATGACACGTTTTTATATGGCAATTAAATTCTATTTGCCAAATTCACGTGTGTTATCGTGCAACAAATTTTCTATGACAGGTTTGTGGTTTTCTGCCCGCCATACCAGTTATTATTAGCTATCACAACAATAAATCGCTGTCCAACCGCATGGCAAATCACTTCGCCAAATTTTCTTTCTCCACCCATACAGACGAAGAAAATTTGTACTTTGCCAATGGCCAAAACAGACGAGCGAATGGGTCAGCACTTGAGTCCATCTACCAAACTGAAGTGACGTCATTTTCGGAAGAAGTGTTAAATGGCTATGTAACTAACCCAAACCTTACCCTACTCTAACCCCCAACCCCCTAACCAGAATAATAAAATAAATCCAAAAAGAATTAACTTTAGAAATTGATCGAATGACTGCGAATGAAACTTGTCATACGAAAACATTCCGAACGTACTCGTCTGTAATCGGCTTTACTTGTTATCAGCACTTGTTAGTAAATTGTTGCAGGACGATACGAGGATGTTGAAACAATTTGCAACATGTCTGTGAGGTCCCCAAATGGCAAGCAGTGTTATATCGAATTATTGTGCCTGTAATAATCTGGTTCTAGAAAATACATGTTCTTACTTCTCATATATTAATTCTGAAATTCAAAGTAAACATTCAGTTTAATTTAACAAATCCGGATAGTTCGTGAGCTCTAGGCAGTGGCTCTAGGTCGTTGCGGTGTCAATAATTGGTCATATATTTAACTTGTGGTAACGGACCAGGGAGGAAATTTCATTGCGTGGTATGTTAATGTTTCACCCCCTACAAGGTTCATTTCTTAGGAACCACACTTATTGCTTAAGTTATGTAAAATTTGACTATTTTGTGTGTGCTGGTGTTATGTACTCAGGTGAATACGATGTTTGTTATGTTACTTTGTGATGTTTGTTATACAACTCAGTTGGCAGAGCATTGCACTGGTATCCTAAAGGTCGTGGGTTCGTTTCCCACCGTGGCCAAGCTAACTTTTCAGCTTGCCCGGTGTGGATGCACACTCAGAGTAACATAACAAACATTATGTAAAATTGTTGTTAAAACTGGTTAACGCTACAAAGGTTAACGGTAATCTTTCCTTCTCCGAGCAAAAGTAAATAGGTTTCTCCAGCCACCCAAGATTGAATACACCCATGCCGAATTCCGAACACAAAATAATCCTACTGTCGACAGGATGTGTCCATACTGCTTGTCCCCAGCTTGTTGACAAGTTATCAACGCCTTGTTGACAACTTACTGCAAGGTTGTTGAACTCCACAGACTTGTTACAAGTTGTTCCAACGACTTGTGATCGTCCTGCGATTCAACAATTTGTCCACAAGTTGCGAGTGACAACCTTGTAGCAACTTGATGAAACAACAACATTGTTACAACTTGTTGCTTGCTACAAGCCTGTTGCGAACACATCTTGTTGACAAGTTGTGAGATTTCTACGTGTGTAATTATTGAAGATTCAGCGCCTTCGATCGCATTGAAACAAGACAGCCACAAATGTTTAGTGGAGAGTTGGGAGAGAGTTCTTTTTGCGCTGATCAGCGTCTAAAAAAAACTCAGACCTTTCCCTATTTATAGCAAATCACTTGATAATAAAGTTGATTGATAATTCCGGATATACGTCAAGAGATCGTGACGCCAACATTTTTTTTTCAATTTCGCGCTTCTCGAGTACTTTGTCTTTAAATAGAAATTTTGAGAATGGAGAGGGAATATGACGCAGATACGTACGGTAGTTTAAAAATATGACAACAAAACAGTATGAAAATGTTTTTATATATCTATTTTCTTATCGTACATTGTGTATGTGTAAATTCTACAAACATTCCAGTAAATTTGCAGTCTCTTTTAATCCAGCTAGCAAAGCGTGTAACAATTTATATGAATTAAGGCCTTTGAACAACAGTAACATAGACATTCGAGGCCGACTTAAACTACATAACTTTTGCCTAAAACTGTCGCATACGATAGTTTTATGCAAACGTTGTGTAGTGTGAATTAACAATGTTTTGCTAACAACATTTAGTTAATATAGATCGAGGTCTCTTTGAGTTTAATCAGGGACGCCGGAACGATGCGAAGGCAAGGGGGGGGGGGGCAGATTTTCGTGAAAGGGCATGCACTTTTGAACTGATATATACTAAGAGATGTTTGAAAAACATCGGGAGCTGAACTGCCTAATCATGTTTTCTATTTATATTGGATGATAGGGGTGTGAGGGGTTCTCCGCTGTATGATTGTGCTATTCTCGAAGTTGATGACTGTACTTTATGTTTTCGGTGTTGAAATTGTGAAAGAATTGCACTAACATTTCCGACACTGCTATTTCTGCCAAGGCAATCCTTTAAATTGAAAGGGCACCTTTGCCCCCCCCCCCCCTCCTTGCCCCTCCTGGCAAAGGGCAACAGGGGCGGCTGTCCCTCCTGCCCCCCAGTTCCGGCGTCCCTGAGTTTAATGATAGACGCATAATAATATCTTGTTAATATCTTCAATAAGCTGACCTGATTTTCACACAAACCACGACATCTTACTGTAGAATATTTCATACACTGCACCCCCAGTTCTGTTCCTCAGAAAAATTAATGTTAGCCAAAGTATAGTCTATTAGCGAAGTCAGGACAGAAGATACTCTGCTAGCATGGATATTCACTTTCAACGAGTCATGACCCCGGCCATAGTGTAGCAAACCTCTCATAGACCGAAGCAATATAACATGAGCAACTAACTATTAGAGAGTTTTTTTTCCTATAACGCGAAGCTTAAAAGCTTCGCGTTATACGTCAAACGGCAGGCAAAGAAAAATTTTACGATATCAGGCAATAAAGAGTAAATTAGCTTGCTGCTTTAAAACTGAAATACATAATTATTCTTTTGACACAAGAAAGAAAATATGAAACGAAAACGTTCAACAAAATTTTTGCCAAGAAAATTCAAACCTGCCGTTTGCCGTTCCTGGAAACGTGAAGCTTAAATTCCGTATTATCAAGAACACAAAATTATCTTCACTCGTGTAAATACGATTCTTTTTTAACCATACTTTACGTTTAACCATGGTTTAAACAGTTAGGGAATCACCGAGTAATACGGGCTAAAGCCGGTTTTCCACTAGCGAATTTTTTCGCGCGAAGCAACCTTTTTCCTTTGTCGGATGCCGACAAAGGAAAAAGGTCGCTTCGAGCGAAAAAATTCGCCAGTGGAAAACGGGCTTAACTCCGCTTTCAAAATGCGCGCTTCAAAACGTAGTTGAATTTAAGAATTCTGGGATCCCAGACTGCAAAATCACGAGGACGGAGTATCAGATATATATCTAAGCTGGTAGTTACTGACAAGTTACTGGCTATGAAGCCACTTATGACTTATCTAAGTCACACAGAGTTCCCAGCAAATCTCACAGGGAGACGCCCTCCCGGCCCCTCGTGAGTGGTACCTTCCGCATAACATAGTTACCTATTTTTTTGAAAACGCCTCCTACTCAAAATTCTCGTGGGAACCCTGGCGTAGCCTGACTTCCTGTTGAACTGATTGGCTGTCTGCACGAAACTAAAGTTTCCAGGGATGGGTTAAACACCGTAGCGGACGTATACTAGACACGGATATCTACTAAGTGCTTGGACAATGAGTAATTTGCTACAATGGCCACAAACAGCACCGCGTGCACACTGTTCCAACTATAAAACCATATTTTACATGTAACACTATCGCATTCATAATTATTTAACACATTTATATGTTCTACGAAAAATTGTCGTACTCTGCGAGCTAGCCATCTAAATTACTAAGCATTAAAATTCTATCTTAAAAATCTCTATGTTACCAGGTTCTCTGCATGCGTTTCTATGTCAACGTGTCGCCGAAGTGGCGTCACCGGAAATGACGTCATGAGCATGACGTCACAAATCACGTCACAAGGCATGAAGTCATCAGCGCTGGTATAAACGCAACTGACTGCGACAGATTTTTGTACACTGGAACACCCCAATACTAACATTAGACCATCTTCAAAGCAATCAAACTCGACAATTGGCAACCGACAATACTATTTCTCTATAACTGTTCAATCCCATCATGCTCCAGTTTTTCAAATGTACAGAGTAATGCCGTAGGTGTGTTTTATTGCATGAGCTGCAAAGGGAAAATATGAAAATCAAAATAATTTTCAAGAAAAGTTTTTTGATACAAGATAATAGCCCTTTGGCGAGACTATTGCAAAATAAATAACATTCTGTTCCAAGCTGCAAAAACAATAGTCATGCTTACCTGCTGTTGATTGCCTTCCCTTCGAAACTGTTCTTCTACCTCGGGTCTTGCAACAGATTGTCCCGTAAGTACTTCAATATCCCGTACATCCAGAGGTTCTAGCGCGAGGCCAGCCGGGAACTCTCCTACATTTGGGTTCATCCCAGAATAACCATCAAAGCCACCGATTGCTTGCCCTATATCCGATGCTAAGCTGTTGTTTTCACTGATCTCCATATTGCCGAAATAATCCTGAAACTTTTGCCGAACATTTTCCATCGTGGCTGGGCTCTGCGAAATCATGTTTAGGAAAGTATTCGGCGACTGTGGTGGGAGACCTTGCCCCATCTGACCATTAGCGACCTCGCCCATTGTCGGCTTCATATTCTCGGCAATTGTTGCCATTTGCTCAAGCTGTTGCTGGAGACTACCGCTGCCCAATTGGCCTGGATATTGCAGGTAACCTGGACCATTAGCAAGCGGCGACATTGGCGCTTGAAACATGGGTGCAACTGTGGGCGACGTTGGATTGGAGGTGTTGTTAGAGGATTGAAACATATAGTTTCCCGGCATTTGGAGATGGTCTAGGTTAGGTGTAGGATGGTGCCGATAGACCTGGCGTTTGCAGCTCGATCCTGTCGTGTTCCTACGAGGTTGTCTATTCATGAAAACATTAGAGTTACCTGCGGAAAATGTCTGATTGTACTGTTGCTGTTGTTGTTCATCTTGGTCGATCGACACTGACAACGGTGACGGGATGTGAAGGTTGGAGAGGTCTGGCAGAGATCCATTGTTGGTGGAAGAGTAGTTGTAAGGTTGTTGCTGCTGGCCGCTGTTCGACATATTAAGCCTGAAAAAAATACACAACAGATCAAAGTTTGATATTTCCACTATCCTAGTATTCTGACAATACTGGTTTTGAATTTTGGATACCTGAAACACTATTGAAACTTTGTATACCATTTGGATACCCAGGAGGTTCTTACTTAAAGATAGGGTACAGTCTGGTCTGCACATACACACATAGGAGTCTCGTGCCGTGATATAAACATTTTACTGTCGTTCCAATTGAAGTGTTGCTCGAATATTGATTCAATACATTACCCCAGGCTGACCAATTCATTTGATCAAGTTCCTCGAGATATTCATACACTTCTTGTGAAAGAGCCAATTCCAAGTATTTGATCATTTCTGGTCACTTCCTTTCTATTTATGATTGGTTAGTTGCACAAACAACAAAGGTGATTGCATGGTGCATTCAAACTATTCAACAGGAAGTTTACAATTATACTAGGAAGTGTATGAATATCTCGAGGAACTTGATGAAATGAATTGGTCAACCCGAGATAATGTATTGAATCAATATTTGAGCAACACTTCAATTGGAACGACAGTAATTAGGTTTTTATTTCATTTTATGTTCTTGCAAAGCCTGATTGTTGTATCTTGATCATTTATTATACTGTAGAAGCATGAAAATATAAATAGTTGTCGAATAAAGTTCAATATTTTTAACACCGAAATGTAAACAAAGGCTTTGTTTACATACCGACTGTACCCTACCTTTAAGCCATTTCATTTCCACATGTTTAATCAAGACAATAGGGAGCTAATAAGCAAGCAGCGGTTTTGTCAACACAACATCAGATTGCCGAGGAGGACTGGATTAAAAACTGTGTTTCAACACATATGACAAAACGTAAGACTTTCTTGCTTCCTTACATGAGCGCTTAATGATGCAAAAGGTCGTCAATATTAGCTATACTAATTTTCGGGTGACATCCCACTAATTACAAAAGTGTGTTAATTGTTCTGTCATTGTTATTTTGCAGTTAACATTAAACTCTGTCATTAGGTAATATAGAAAACCTCTTATTTTTGAGATGATGGCATTACTTACAGTAATATGAAGACTGAAAGCATGTTTTCTTATTTTGATAATTTGGATAGCAGATTTTCAGTTTGGATACCAAATTAAAGTAATGCTGGTAATTCAAAATAGATTCCATGACAAAATTATAATCTGAAACCCTGACGAGTTGTGTGGAATACTATTGTATTAAACGCTTCGGGTTAATTAAACCCCAATAGAATCTCTCTAACCCCTCTAATAGTGTGTTCAACCCCACCAAAATTTCACTTCACCTCTCCTATTTTGTGTGAAAGACTTTAACCCAAACGCCTAACCCCTGCCGAAGCTCACTGAGCGGTGCTGCTTGCACCCCACCAGAAATTTTGCTACCCCTCCTTTTAAATCAATGATATCTGCCTTGATAAAAATGCAACTACAGCATAATAATAAGATCTCCCTAGCAATCAAATCTAAAACACTCACTCCCTTACGAAAATTTCCTATAGGAATTCCTATAGGAAATCAAAATTCCTATAGGAATTCCTATAGGAATTGAAAATTCCTATAGGAATTCCTATATGAATTGAAAATTCCTATAGGAATTCCTATAGGAATTGAAAATGGTCAAAAAAATTCCTATAGGAATTCCTATAGGAATTGAAATTTCCTATAGGAATTCCTATAGGCATTGAAAATTCCTATAGGAATTCCAATAGGAATTAAAATTTCCTATAGGAATTACAATAGGCATTGAAAATTCCTATAGGAATTCCTATAGGAATTGAAATTTCCTATAGGAATTCCTTTTGGCTATAGGAAAAAATATTCCTATAGGATTGGAAAATGGCTATAGGAATTCCTATAGGAAATGAAAATTCCTATAGGATTTGAAATTTAGGAATTCTTATAGGATTGGAAAATGGTGGGAAAAATTCATAGCCTATACCGATATGGCCTGATACATGCATGGGTATAGGGGCTTTACTTATATAAAAAATTATACAGATAAATCTAATTTACGAAATAACTCCTTCCTACAGGAATTTCTATTTCTTATAGGAATTTTTTCACCATTATCATATCCTATAAGAATTCTTATAGGAATTTTAATTTCTTATACAACTACACTATTCCTATATCGTATTTTACTCATAGACATTTATTAATAGAGAATTTAATCCCCGAGCCGGCGGCGCGAAGCGCCGTGCGAGGGTACTAATTCCCCCCGGCTATTTACACCCGGGGAAACGAAAGCATTAGCGAAGTCTAAAGTTCATCAATGAGCGCGGGCGTCGGTCCATAGAGATTATAAATAACACAGTGTTATTTATAATCTCTATGCGTCGGTCACCAACGATGGGTGGTCATCCTCACTGATCTCAAAAATATGGCGGATTGTCATGAATAACGGACACTGATTGGTCCAATTTAAAGTTTGCATTATAACGACTGCATGACGACAGCGAAATAGCAAACATTTCTTGATTTGATGATTGATAAACTTCTTGCAAATATATTTCATTTTTGGTCGTATTTCTGCAAGATTTTGTAAATTTCAAGAAAGAAAGGGCGAAAGAATCAGCTAAAAGAAGGGAGCCGACGTTAGCGAAGGTAAGTTTGTTTTAAATATTGATTTTATAATGGCTTTAAAACCCGACGGCCTTTGCGTATATGAAACAACTACACAAGACAGCATATATAAATTTCAGTGTAACTTTAATATTGATTCCCTTTTTTATTATATTGAATTTTTTAAATAAAAAATAAAGCAAAGACCAAAGTTATTTGCAAGCGAGAATTTGAAATCATTTTATTGCAAACTCAAAGTTTATCGATAAAGCCATTTAATAGTTAAAGGCAGTTTAGTTTTATAAAGAACACTTTAAAACGTTTTGTGAATTGTTTGTGGTTGAATTTTACCTTAAATTGAAGCTTGTATTACGTGTAATTACATACCTAACATATATATGTTGGGAAATTGATAATTTTGTAATTAAAAGTGATATTTTTAGGCGATTTTCATTTGTAAGAATATTCTTAAAAAAATATCGTGTTACCATATTAAACAACTACTCTAGATACTTCCTGTTCGGAAAACACAACGGTTTTGTCAGCAAGGCGAGGGTTTCTGCATGCATGTATTTTCTAGTACTGGGACTATTTATTTTCTAAGATTAAATCACAGAGTAGATAATACATACAGAGACGTAACTGACCGTTGTAAACACTGCCATAGATTATAGATCATACCAGATGTCTCACTGTGTATCTATCTCTATGATTTTCGTGTCCGCGATTTTCGCAAGGCTATCACGCCAGATGACGCGTACGACACTTACTGCCAAAATGGCGCTTACTGCCAAAAAGCGTGATTGCTCACGTTTCATGGCGTGGATTACACTTACTGCCAAAATGGCGGCCAATTCGTGCTCATAAAAATCGCGGACACAATTTTGGCTGAGTGAGACATCTGGTATAATCTATAATCTATGACACTGCGGAAGATTACGTTATCATGTACCCACTTTTTTTCAGGCGATCAGGCGAAAAATGATCAACTGCGCGTGCTCAGCAAGTTTAAAGTGAGTCGTCATCAGGTCGTCATCCAATCAGATGCATGCATCTAGTAACTTGCCGAGCATGCGCACAAAAAAAGTGGGTACACTAGTTACGTCCAGTGAACTCTATATATATATATATCTGGAACGATAACATTCAGTCATTTGATTGTGAAAACAATGAAGCCTCGATACCAGTCTTTCACACGGATTGGACGTCAGTCTCAGTCCCTCAAACGTCAGGTTTACGCGGATCAATGACGCGGATTGGACGTCAGTTTCATTCCCCCTCTGCAAACCGTTGCACGGCCAGTATAAATTTGAACGCAATCACGAAAAAAAATTAAAAACATGGCCAACTCAATGCAATACATTGTAGGAGCAAACAGTTTTGCTCCTAAAATTTACTGCATTGAGTTCGCTGTCGGAAAAAAGTCGAGGAAAACTTCCCCGCCTGGACAAAAGAATCACTTTTTCAAATATATTGTGTCGTACTGTCGTTCTGGATGCACAAGGAAAGAGATATTCTTGCGAGAAAATTTCATTTCACAGGTAGGTATTAAAATTGACTTGCAACTGTGACTTTGCCGTTGCCATTTTTCGCGATTGTTTGAATTGTTTTTTAGTTTACCAGTTTTATAGTTTTTAGTCAATACACTGGTACGTTATTTTTTAAAGAATTTGTTGTGTGATCGGAATTTGCCTGCCAGCAAAATGTAAATGAATATGTACGTGTGTTTGAATATAAATTAGACCATATGGGCTTAGTAAAAAATTATTTTAATAACTACGTTTCGGAGTATAACTCCATCTTCAGGTTTATAAAAGTGAATAAAGATATAAAAACTGTGATAAAAACTTTCAAAACAATTACAAATTTTATATGTAAGTGATATTTAATACTGTAAGAATTAAGAAAGTTCTTGAACAGTTGATGACGAAGACAATGACGAATACTTATGTCGTGATTTTTCTGTCGGCTTCACTCAGTGAACTCTATATATAGATATCTGGAATGATAACAGCGAGCGAAAAGTGAAGCCGACAAAAAAATCACGACATAAGTATTCGTCATTGTCTTCGTCATCAACTGTTCAAGAACTTTCTTACAGTATTAAAAATCACTTACATATAAAATTTGTAATTGTTTTGAACGTTTTTATCACAGATTTTATATCTTTATTCACTTTTAACATGAAGGTGGAGTTATACTCCGAAACGTAGTTATTAAAATAATTTTTTACTAAGC